GGACTGAGGTCTGGCATCAAGAGCTCAAGCGATGTGAGAACGATGTGTAAACTGAAGAGATGTGACCAAAACCTATATAATATAATTGGATGATAATTATGTTACGCCTTATAATTATAAATTAATACCTAATTGGATATAAAATTGTAAATGCATTCTTGTATTCAATAATAAAGTAAATGTTGAGACTTTTATTCAATTATTAGATATATTTTATTATCTAATTATGCAATTATTTAGAAATTTGTTTGATTAGTATAATTATTTTAAGTGTTATTAACTTTTAGATAAATGATTGTTTATAATTATAATGTAATTTCATATCCTTAATAACTAAAGTGTGCAGAATATCTATTTATTCTGGGTTAAATAAGTTATGTTACATAATACTTAACAAATTGTGTATTTCAATTCAAACATTTTCAAATGTTTATTTTAGGTATACTAAATTTGTTTTTACTAATTATTTATATGAACATTAAATAATTAATTTTAAAATCGATTTTGTAAATATTATGGTATAAGTAAAGTATATTCATTTAATAATAATGTTCCCAATTATGCTATTCGTTGTCTCAAAGTCTTGCAGCTATATATTTATTGGAAGAACATATTTATTTAAATAGAATGAGAGTCTGTATTAAATTGTATTTCTATTCTAAAATACCTGTACCCAAAGAAAATGATGACAAAGAATTAAGAGGCAATTAATTAAACAAAATAATATATCAATTTTGAATCAGGAATTAACTGTAATCTCGAAGAAGATATTAAAATCTAATTTCGCTGGTATTTCATCCTTTGAACCAAAGGATGCGATCACTATATAAGCCATTAATTCAAACAAATCGGACAACATTTTTGGTTTTGTATCCCAGAGTTTGGTTTCAAATACCATAACATAATGTTGAAGATTGTATTATTGTTGTCGGCGGCGGCCCTTTGTTACGGTCTGTACTCCATATAAATTTAGTCATAAAAATAAAATTATAATATATAATAATTTAAAATTGTATTTCCATATATTCAGGCGCTGACCGAAGTATTGACGACTACTGTTCAAAAGACGGCTATATGCCCGGACCCGATCCCGACGACTACTACACATGTGAAAAAGTGCCCGACCAGTGCTGGAACAGACATCTGGTGCACTGTCCCGCAGGCGGCATTTGGGATCAACTCACCCACAAATGTATGCAAACATTGTTAATCACATTTTACATATTAATTCATTAAATATTTGTCGCGACAATAGGTAAACCTAAACCGACGGCCGCACCCACACCTACGCCTACGCCCAGACCCACAGTCGGCCCAACACCCGATCCGGTGGACCTCTACTGCTCCCGAGACGGCTATATGCCTGACTTCGAAGACCATCACAAGTTCTATCAGTGCGAAAACATTGGACCCCATAAGTGGAGGCTGACTATGCAAACCTGTCCCTCAGGCTATACATGGGTTCAGGAGCACAAGAGATGTGACGGACCCCCCGATGGCCGCTAAATAACTATTCATTTAAAAGGTTTCTTATGTTGTATTAATTTTATTATTTATCATGTTTAATATATAATTTAATGCGAATATAATTATGTAAAACACGATAATTATATAAAAATACAATTGAATATAAAATTTTAAATACTGTTTTTGTATTCAATAAAAACCTAAGCTATTAATTCATTCAACAAGCCTGTTTTGTTATCTCATTAATTTATTATTAAGCGTAATGTGTGATTAATGTAAGTATTTTAAGTGTTGTTTACTTTTATTAACTTATTAATTTTCGACTCATTGCTAAATGTCTAATAGAAATCATATCTACACTATTATTATAAAACGAGTGAACAATTAATTGAGATTTTCTGAAGAAAAGGTAAAATATATAGTTTTATTAAGAGAAACAATCAGTTAATTGAAATAATGTAATCACTGTTGGATCAGGATTTAGCTGCAATCTTATTATAGATATATTTTCAAGTATTAGGATTTTGTCCCCAAAACTGATTTATACTTTAGGAGACTTAACTATTTAAGCAATTGATTCAAACAAATTAAACAATACTTTTGGTTTTGTATCCATAATTTGGTTTCAAATACCATAACATAATGTTGAAGATTGTATTATTATTGTCGGCGGCAGCCCTTTGTTACGGTCTGTACTCATTATAAGTTTAACAATACAATTACAATATGTTATAAATTCTAATTGTATTTTTATATATTCAGGCGCTGACCGAAGTATTGACGACTACTGTCGAAAGGACGGCTACATTCCCGGCACAGATCCGCACGATTACTACAAATGTGAATACGTGGCCGACCAGTGCTGGAACAGACATCTCGAACACTGTCCCGATGGCGGCACTTGGGATCAGTTCACCCATCATTGTATGCATACATTTCGCTAACAGTTTACTTATAAGTTAATTAATTAAACATTGATTTGAACCAAAAGGCAAGCCTAAACCGACGCCCGCGCCCACACCAAAACCCACGCCCGCGCCGACAACCAAACCGACACCACCGCCGACTCCTAAGCCTACACCAGCGCCAACACCGGCGCCCACAACCGAAGACCCGGTGCAATACTACTGCTCCCGAGACGGCTATATGCCTGACTTCGAAGATCACCATAAGTTCTATCAGTGCGAAAACATTGGACCCAATAAGTGGAGACTGACTTTGCAAACCTGTCCCTCAGGTTATACTTGGGTTCAGGAGCACAAGAAGTGTGACGGACCCCCCGATGCCCTCTAAAAACCGCAACCGATTTAATAAAACAATTTTTGTGTAATAATTAATTTTGTTATTAAATACTAATGTATACTAATGTATTTATACTAATACTAATGTATACTAATGTATTTATACTAATACTAATATATTTATGTTACGTATAATAATTATATAAAAACACAATATTGAATATAAACTTATAAATATCCTTTTTTGCAATCAATAAAAATCTAATAAATTAATTCATTTATTTTAAATCCGCTTTTCTATCGCATTATTTAGCGTAACATTTGATTTGTATAACTATTTCGAGTGTTATTTACTTTCAATTTACTAAATATTTTGTAATATCTATTCAATTATCATTTTTAGAGTGGTTTTTGCTATTATTTTTGACTTTTAATCTAATTATAAGTTAAACAATAAGTAGATTAATATAAGTGGGAAAAGAGGTCTAGGATTTCACATTTATATCAGTAAATCACTGCAAAGGGCCGCCGCCGACAATAATAATACAATCTTCAACATTATGTTATGGTATTTGAAACCAAATTATGGATACAAA